CTAGCAGTGGTAGTAGTGGCAGCAGCAGTAGTAGTAGTAGCAGCTTGCGATGCCGCCTCTGTGCGCAGGAGCTGACCACTTTCGAGCAGATGCTGGTACGAAGTTGGAGTCGCTGTTATTTGTGGTTGCTGGGATGTTCGGTAGTAGTCTACTGGGACTCATCTGTGCCTGGTTTCGCCCAATTAAAGCTAAGCCCCAAAAAAGACCCAACGCTTAAATTGGGACCAAAACCTTGAAACCCCAAAGGCCTAAACCCTAAACCCTACAAGTCCGAACGCCTGAACCCAAAACCTCTACAGCCCCGAGCCCTAAACCCCAAACCCTCAAACCGCCGCAGCCTAATCCAAAACCTTGAAGCTCCAACCCCTTGAGGTCCCGAAGCATGAGTCGAAACCCCAAAAGGTTTAGGGTTTAGGATTTAGGGTTTAGGGTTTACGATTTAGGGTTCAGGGTCTAGGATTTAGGGTTTAGGATTTAGGGTTCAGGGTTTAGGGGTTTACGGAACCCTGAGCCGAGGATTGCCGAAGGGTCGGAGGTGCAGGGCCAGTTGCAAGAGGCACTGGCCAACACCTTCACCCAGAGAGCCCAATACCCCTTAAATAAGGAGTATACCTCAAACTATAGGGGTCCTTATTCCCTAAATAAGAGGCACTGGCCAAGACCTTCAAGGCCGTGCGCACGAGGGACCGCACCAGGGGGCGGGGGTGCGAGGAATCCAAGCTTTGGGGGATTCTCAGGGTCTAGGGTCTAGGGTTTGGGGTGGATGATCTGACTTAATCCCTAAATCCTGTAGTCTTTAGGGATGCTTAGGGTTTAGGGTTTATGGTTTAGGATTAAGCAAGGTCATGAAGGCCTACACCCTCACTGTCCAAAATGCTTCTTCGATCCTGCAGAGCCCCGTCAAAGTGGTAGTAGGACGAGGAGGGGCAGCAGCAGGAGGAGAAAGAGGAGTTGTGGTAGTCGTCGTCAGCGCCGATGCGCGAGACGCAGCAAGAAGAAGCCCCGAACTGTAGACAATCCCAGATATCACTCTAGAAGAAGTACAAGAAAATTCGGAACACAACTCACAAAATCAATTGATTTTGGATTCCTACTGCACGGCACCAAGGCATCTCCTAGTTTTATTGAGCCACACATGTTCATCTGAAGCTTTGCTGAAGCCTTGCCAAGCCCTCTAGAGCCTGACAAACCCTATGCACCTCTCTAAACCCTAAACCCTAAACCCTCAACCCCAAACCCTAAACCCGAAAACCTAAACCCTAAACCCTCAACCCTAAACCCGAAACCCTAAACCCCAAAGCCCCAAAGCCCTAAACCCCAATCCCTAACTTGCAGGACCGCAGCGGCGCGGTGCCCAAAGGCCTCCGCTTGAAGCGCGCGCTGCGGATCGAGAACTCCGGCCTCTGGGCCTGGGCCTTACAGGGCTGCTTTCGGATCCTTTTAGGGTTTATAGGGTTTAGGATCCGTTTTAGGGTTTAGGGTTTAGGATCCTATAAGGGTTTAGGGTTTAGGATCCTTTTAGGGTTTAGGGTTTAGGATCCTTTAGGGTTTAGCGGGTTTAGGGTTTAGGATTCTTTAAGGGGTTTAGGGTTTAGGATCCCTTAGTAACTTAGGGTTTAGGGTTTAGGATCCTTTTAGGGTTTAGGGTTTCGGATATCTTTAGGGTTTAGGGTTTAGGATCCTTGAGGGCTTAGAGTTTAGGATCCTGTAGGGTTCCTTCTGCCGTGAAATTTCGAGACGGGCTCAAAGATGGTACGAATCGGGTTTGAGGGTTCAGGGTTGTGACGGGGCTTGGGGTTTGGGAGTTTAGCGGCTTTGGACTTATAGTTTTGTTGTGGGACTTGACAAGAGAGTGGGTTTCAAGTTTAAGGTTTAGTTTGGGCGCTTTGGGGGGTTTCCGTTCAAGGCCTAGGGTTTGGATCCGTCGAGACCAGTATATCCCCAAACCCCAAACACTAGACCTAAACCCTAAACCATAGATCCTAAGCCCTCAACCCTAAACCCGAAATCCTAAACCTTAAACCCTAAACTGGCCCTAAACCGTTTAGGCTCGCTACCTCAACGCGACTGCAGCCCTCGAGAAACGGCGGCCAGATGGTTGCACTCCTATACAGGAGCGGTGCCGAGAGCCTTTAAAAATTTAGGTCAGTGCTATTATAAGGGCTCCCTTAAGGGTTCCTTCAAGGGTACTATGAGGGTACCTGTAAGGGTTCTGGTAAGGGATGAACTGTTTCCCTGAAGGGTGCTGTGACTTTGGGGGCTCCTTTAAGGGCCTTTGCTTCCTCTCCGGGAGTCTCTAGTGGGTCGTGGGTCTTTAAGGATTCAACTTCAGAGTTCAGGCGGTTCTGCGTTCATGGCTTTGGAGTCTCAGGGTTTAGGGTTTAGGGGTTTCGGGGTTTAGGGGTTTAAGGCTTAGGGGGTGAGAGGGGACGCCCTCAACCCTAAACCTAAACCCCGAACTGTACTGGTCTACGGTTTACTTCAGAAGTCGACGTGGCATCCAAAACCGCACTCTTAAAATTCCGCATCCCTTTACCTCAAATCTGGACCCTACCCCTAAACCGTATACCCCTGCAGAGGATCTGGATGGGGATCCGGAGACCGGTCACGTTCGTACCTCCATGTCCCTGGGTGATCTCGCAGGCTTTCGGTTCAGTGATTCGGGTTGCTTCTTGTTGCGGTGAGGTGCTTCATGTCTTACAGAATGTAGAGAGCTTTGTGGAAACATGTGGTTTCAGCGTGTTTGGTTTGTGTCAGCTTTAGTGAAGCGTCTGGGGTTTTGAATTTGGCGTTCCTGCGAGTGTCCAGAAAATCCTACACTCGGAGCCACCCTAAGCCCTACACCCTAAACCTTAAGCCCTAAACGCTAAGCCTGGGGCCTAAGCCCCAAACCCTGAACCCGCCACCTGTTGTAAGGCCCTGAACCCGCAGAACACAGCAACGGCGGGGTCCAATCTGCAGGCTTTGGTTTTAAGCCTAGGCTGGATAAGAGCTACTATACGGGTTACAAAAATAGGCTTACTATAAGTGTTGCTATACAGGCTCTACAAGCTTTTAGTTCTTATAAGGTTTACTAGAAGGCTTCCAACAAACTCTCCGTGAGGTCTTTCTGGGTTTCAGGTTGAAAGAAACCCTAAACCCTAAACCCTAAAAGAAACCTTTTGTAGAACCCTCCAAGAAAGCCTAAGAATCCTCATGGCACCGTTTAAAGAACCCCTAAAGCCCGTTTGGACCCATTCACAAAGGAATGTTGGGAAGCGCCCTACTAGAAGGGGTTAGGGTTTAGGGTTTAAGGTTAGGGTTTAGGCTTTAGAGAGAACGCTAAGAGGAACAAATTATAGAACCCCTAAGGAATCCGACGGAACCCCCTTAAAGAAATTAGGTTCTTTTCTTGGAAGGGCGGCTGAAGACAAGCATCGCCGAGCTTTACCTTTTCCATGGGACCAGCCCTGTGGGAGCCACTGGGCAGCTGCCTTCTGTTGGGGTGGGGGAGGTGTGAGGGGGGTGACGATCGGCGGTCGTGTTGATTGGGGTTTTTAGAAGAGCTTTTTCAGGTGCGATCGGGTTTCGACGGAAATTGGGATTGCGGGTTCCAGAAGCCTCGTGCTTGTGAGGGCTTAGCTGGTGTTATTGAAAGGCTTCACGAGCTTTTCCATGGGATTGGAGAGGGATAATATAGAAGCCAAGATAATTCCTTATATTATTCCGTGGGGGTCCTTATTATACTTATAGTATAATGGGTCCCAAAACCTTATTCTAATCATTGAGGCTTTTACATTACCTTGCATTGTAGCTGGAGTTTAGATGTCCGCGCTTTAGGGTAGGGATCGGAAGTCCAGGCCTCTCATTGCAAGTGTTCCCCCGGTCTCCAGAGGGTTTAGGGTTTAGGGGTTTAGGGGTTTAGGGGTTTAGTGTTTAGGGGTTCAGGGTTTAGGGTTTTAGGGTTTAGGGTTTCCTTAGGCAAGTGTTCCCCAGGGCTCCAGCATCGGCTAAGGCGAAAGCCATCTCAGAGCAAGGATTTCGTCGCATCCTGGCAGGCGTGAATGCTGGCACTGCCTTTGGGCGTGGCTGCTACTTTGCCGAGGCTTCGTCTAAGTCGGATGAGTATGCGCAGCCTGACAGTGACGGGCACTTCGTGATGCTTCTCTGCAGAGTGGTTTGCGGAGAGATGTTCCGCATCACCGAGACTGGGTTCTTGTTCTGGAACTTAATTGACTGAACTTAGATTGCCATAAGAAGGAAAACATCGTAGTGCAACTTAGAGGGAGTTCCTCAAAAAGCATTTACAAAGGAAGAAACCATTGAGCCCGAAACCCTAAACCCTCGATCTTAAACCCTAGACCTTAGACCTTAAATCCTAAACCTTTAAAACTTAAAACCCTAATCCCTAAACCCTACACCTCTAAACCCTAAACCCCAAACCCTAAACCCTTAAAGCCCCTAATCCCAAAACCCTAAAAGCCGCTAAACCCCTAAACCCCCAACCCTTAACCCCAAACCCCTAAAACCCCTAAACCCTAAACCCCAAAACATAAACCCTATATAACCCTAAACCCTATATAACCCTAAACCCCCTTAAAAAGAGTCCAGGAGAGGGACCCTCTGGGGCTCTCCGAAGCGCTGCACAGCGGCCGCTACGACTCCGTGCTGGCAGACAGGGAGGCCTCTGTGGGGACCTACCGCGAGTTGCCGGGCCCGTAGTTTAGGGTTGAGGGTCTAGGGTTTAGGGTTCAGGGTTTAGGGTTTAGGGTATAGGGTTTAGGGTTTAAGGTTTAGGGTTTAAGGTTTAGGGCCTAGGGTTTAAGGGTTGACGGTTGAGGGTTTAGGGTTTAAGGTTTGGGAACTAGAGAAGTGTTCCTGTACAGGGTTCTAGAAGGGCTTCTGGGCTCCTTTTAGGGTTTAGGGTTTAGAGGGTCTCAAAATCAGTTGTTTCAGGTTTTTATTTCTATTTTTAATGCACTGCTCCTGTTTTCCGGTTCTGCTTGCTGCATTTGCTTGCTTGTAGTTTTCTGCTTGTTTGTGCTTTTGCTTTTCTGCTTCTCTGCTTTTCCGCTTCTCGGCGCTTTTTGTTCCTCTGCTTATCTGCTTTCCGCTGTTCTTTCTGCCTTCTGCCTGTGTTTGCTTCTCGTTTTCTGCTTCTGGTTTTACTTTTCTGCTTTTCCGCCTTTCTGCTTCTATTCTTGTTCGCTTCTCTGCTTTCACGCTTTGCTCTTATGCTTTTCTGCTGTTCCGCTCTTCTTTTGGTTGCTCTCTGCTTGCTCTTGCCATTGCTTGCGTTTTTTCTGTTGTTTCCGCTTACCTGCTTCTAATGCTAGTAAAAAATGATAGCAGCCATAAAAAACAAGAGCGATACTAATTATGTCTAACAACAATAGTAACAACAACAGCAACAACAACAACAACAACATCAACGTCAGCATCAACATCAGCAGCAGCAGCAGCAGCAGCAGCACTAGTGGTTAGGAGTCGTCGTCGTCGTCGTCGT